GCAGGACGCTGTCCATGGCAGATCGCTCGGGACGACTCCTGGAAAGTTTGGATCAACTGGAAGGGAGGTACAGTGAAGTAACAGGCCGTAGCCTTTACCGTGCGCGTTGTACACAGGGTCTACAGAACACCCGGCGATCTGTTCACACTTTATTATTGTATGGCTCCTCATATTTATAACTGAGGGGGAACCCGGCGGCTTGGCAGATGTTTTAATATGACTGTGGCACCGATTAAACATGGGGCGGGTCACGTCTGATCGAAAAGTTATGTTATACGTGCAGGTGAATATCACCCAGAAAAAGAGAAATCATATAAATATAATGCCCTAACGTGGGTTTTTTTTTTATGATGATGGGGCTTTTATTCCCATTCATCGTCCTAAGATAACCCCTGATCAATCAGTGAAAGGATGTGGTTTTAAATGAGTGGTCATGACTCGTTTCTCTCTGTCAGGGTGGAGGCTTTACGCGAAGAAGCATCGGCCATGGAGCAGGAAAGGGAGTGCATCCTGGAAATGATTCAGTCCATACAGAACAGTCAAGAAATGCTAAACATCTCTGCGGGTGAGGCCGTTTCATTCAAAACAACCCTGTTTTTCTCAGTAACATTGGGATCCAGTGAGGTTATGCTTTGGGGATTTAAAAAGGATCAAGTCCACATGGTTTCTGCACTCCACCCAAGAGAAGATACATGTTTGCATGACACCGGGTTCATTGAGTTATTTCCCCTCCTTGTAACCTATAAATGTTATATACATACACCCCTTATCCATACTGTATAAGGAATGACTTGAATACTATGTAATCTAGTAGAATCAAGTGCAGTAACTGCGTCACATTGTATTTTTATTATGGCATTATGTTGTAGGGACCTGGTTGACAAAATAATTAATACTATATACTAGAATCTTATCTAATTAGTAAACATTACAAACTGGTGTTTTAAAAGGTATCACTGAGTTGAATCAACACCTCTGATACAGGCTTAAAAAACTACATGCTTTACAAGTGTGTTTTGTAGGGCCACCCTGTCTGATATATTTGGCCTGGATCCACCAGTTAAATCTTTTTCTTTAAAGATGCAGCAGTATTGATTTCTTTCTTGTTGGTTCTTCTAGGAGAGAGAGAAGAGTTAAATTTAACTGCAAACCGTCTAATGGGCAGGACGCTGTCTGTGGAGATATCCGTCGGCACAATCAGAAACCCCCAGCAGGAGGAGGCGCTGCGCAAGGCCACATCTATAATAGATGAAATAGTGAAAAAGTTACTGGAAGACATGGATGCAGGTCGGCACCGACTGCTAGCTCTGCACGCCGCCTGTGTGACTGAGGCACCACCTGTCCCCATTGACCAAAAGTTTCAGGCTATAGTGATCAGCTGTGCTCTGGAGGACCAGAAGAAGATCAAGCGGAGGCTAGAGACTTTGTTGAGGAACACTGAAAATGCTAAAAAGAACATCAAGATCATGGATCACCAAAAACTTGAGGACCCCAAATCCAATGGTAGTAAATAAGACCTATCACTAAATGTCAAATAAAATGTCTTCAGCGCCACTAACCTCACCAAGAACCCATGTAATCAAGTTTTACTTTCACTTTTTTTTTTATGTTGACCTACAGATGACAAGTTAAGGGAAAAACCTGAATAAATGAGTGGTCAGGATGACAATGCACCCATCCAGTGGGCATGAGGGGCATGAAAATGATGTGAATCATATACTTTGGCCTTCCCAGTCACCAGATCTCAACCCAAATGGAGCTGTAGAATCAATGCTGAGGCACATTAAAGCTGTCCTGGTGGCATGTGGCGGCCCAGCACCTCACTAAGACACTTTGTTGGTTTCTCCTTTAATTTGTCAATCATCTGTACTTGATGTGGATTGTGTATAGGTAGTACACAATGTGTGTTCACATGTGCACTTAAGTATGACAAAAAAAAAAAGATATCACATAGTACTAGTACTCCTGGAGGTTTTAGTTTTCAAAATCCAGTGGTGATAATCAGTTTACTTCAAAGTTACTATAATGTGCAAGTAGTTGCTCTACCAAGTTTTGGGTAATACAGCAATGTAAAATCACTTCATAGATATTTTATAACTAGATTGCTGTTACTTTGACTAGGAAAACCACTTACTAACTAGATTGATCAGCACTAATGCCTAATGAATTGTCAGAAAGTTGCTCAAGATGTATCCACTTTAGAAGTATCGGTTTGTTTCACTCTCACCTTTTAAATCAGGCACTTGGTAAGGAGTACAGATGTGTGTACACTACCTCTTTGGGAAGGCAACATGTCACATTAAGCTGTGGAGTTTAGTTCATATTTTTACTGTTTGTTTGGTTTTTTTTTTTAAGATTGCATTTCCAAAAAGGAAATAAAACACATTGTCTAATAAGTGTCAAGTTGTGAAATCTTAAAACAACCAAGGCAACAGTGATATAGTGCTATAGTCAGCTATAAACATCCTGGGAGTTTTCACAATAAAGTCTTAACTCAAGGTCCACTTACTAGCCTCTTCAGGCTCTTTGAACCACTTGACATACTCCATATCTGGATACCCATCTTCCAGCAAAAATACACACTGGATGCCCAAGAAAAAAGTAAAGTTTTATTTATCTTGATCCCCCAAAAAGTAACATCAGGTGATTCAACAGATACATTTGTAGCTGTTAAAACAAAAATCCAACAATGAGTGTTGTTCTCGTCAGGCTGTAGGCAAGCACGTTGGTTTGTGTAAGTGTGTGAAATTGGCTTACGATGATTACAACACCTGAGTGACAGCACATAAGTATGGTTAGTTTTAATGTGTGATTCTTTAAGATTATATGCCATCTCAACGATAAAGTGCGCTAGATCCATTCCATCAAAAAGCAAACAGGCAAGGTGAACACAATGTTACAAATAAGAGAAGGCGTGATAAATAATTATTTACAAATTTACTGTGCAGCCAATTTTCAACAAACAGTAAGGGGAGTGATTCTAATGTTTACTGGTCAGTGGGGGGCAATGTAAACATGGACAAACCATAGTGGCTTTGCAACCATGATGGAACATTCACTGATGTGGAGAAAAGCATTACATGCATTAGTTACGCCACACTTTGTTTTTGTGATCAAAACGGCACTGTTTATATACAACTGAATGAGAATGCTGCTGCACTTGTTGAGACTATGAAGTCAAAAGATGAATTTAATGGCATCCAAACTTCATCTGAAGCTGGCAAAAGCTTCTAACACACATCTGAGATCAGTTACAAAACTTTTAAAAAGACAAAAACATGTATGCACATGTATTCCCAGATGTCCTATGTATTCTACTTCCATGTAAACACTTTGAATTGTAACTATTCATAAGGAAACAATCATTTCTGCCAGATTTAAAATAAGATGTTTCCACATGACCACACATTTCCCTTGTGCTTGGTAAAGCTGTTCAGATAATGTTAAAAAAAAACTATGGTAAAAGGCTTAATGGAGGCAAGACAGTAACATACAATGTACAGCTGGCTGTACGGAGGACTAAGCACTAATGTAGATGGTTTTGGAGTACCTACAGTATCATGTAGGTAGAAGAAACTGAATTGTCTTGCATATTCAGGCACACACAACTAGGACAACAACATATTAAGTCCTGATTCTGTGACACCTTCAGAGAGTAAGAGTTGAAGTCCATACCACAAGGCCAGACTGAGTAGTGAGCTTTGTCTTTTCAACTTTGTTTCCAATCTTTCTCCCTTTTGATGATACAAAATAGTAACTGAAGAAGCCACAGAAAGTAAACCAAAAAGAAACATTTTTAAAACCTAACTCTCGCACCATGTTTAGTGTTTCAAATACAAACGCGTTGACTCTGAGGTTAACCAATGAGTTACTCAAAGCTGAACCAAAGTTAAAGATAAGCACTGTTAACATGAAATATGTAAAATGTAAACAGCAGCAATTAAAGACATAGTACTAACCGACTGTGAATTGAGGTACTAAGAGCAGGTTATCGTTTATTCAGCTTGTGTTTTACATCCCCATATCCTAGATTTAAAAATCTTATAATTTGGTCAATAAATCTGTACATAGGTACTGTAAGAAGGCATTCAATTAAATTTTTATTTGTATAGCGCCAAATCACAACAGGCCATCTCAGGGCACTTTACATAGTAAGGCCTAGATCTTACCATTATTGTTGTTATTATTAATATAGAGAAAAACTCAACAAATTCCCTTTGAGCACTTGGCGAGGACTGTTACTGATATTTGGTTACCATATATAGGAACACAATTTACTATTTTCATGTTCCATCCACATCACTTCTGTTTGAATATTTAACTATAGATCAGAAAGGAAATTTGGCACTACATCAACACTTGAGATTCATACAAAAATATTTGTATACAGAGAATTAGCCCAACTCTGGACTGTCCACAGTAAACAGTTTAGTTTGAACCATATTCTGTTCACCGGTATAAAAATATGGTACGAAATCATCTGTGCATCTTCTACAATATATGCAAACATACTGCACAGCTGAAATGTCAAAACGCAGAAATGGGTGACTGTGTGTGCCCTGGAGTGGTTGTTCTCACACAGCAGAAGTACAACCTCTGCTGTTACATAGTTTGTTGAGAGGACTGTGTCAAGTCATTAAAAAAAAAAAAAGTCATGAAAAGAAACCACCAGTACTCACATACTGTAACTCTTGATTTTGGGGGAATCATTAAACTGAATGCACAACATACTGTAACTGCAGCTGTTGCTGTTACTTGAGGGAACCACAAGGAGGACCCGAGTGTTTACAATTATTGACGAGATTTGTGTGTACATTATTGATGAAATTCAGCCATGAATGTGGGGTATACGGGTTAAAATAGTAGAGAGTAGTATTTCCCAGCCTGTATGGGCTTTGGTCTCTAAATGTGGCTACCTCCATAGAATACAACAACCAATCACCTTTTAGAAACAATAATCAGTCGTTAAAATGCTTCTATCTAGAGTAGGCTGCAGCTTCCAAAAGGAATTTTATTCTTTTTGGTCCTTTGTTTGTTAGGTCGCAAAGTGATAACTTCTCTGCCATTGCTGGAGCTCTGGTTGCAGACGTTACCACTTGTGGTATTAAAAACACCTTTGGGGAAAAAACACAGTTTGTGAGAAATGTCACCATACTAAGGGAAAGTGGGTGATGAGCAGAAAGATTCCTTACCTATTTTATTGCTTGTTGTATGGACCACCTCCGTCTCCTCTGCCGTTTGCTGTTTGAGTCGCTGAAGATACTTCTCAGCTAAGTACTTAAAAACTAAAAGAGAGAGGAGCAGCAGAAACGTTATGACAGCAACATCCACAATGACTTGCATTAGACTCATTCACTTGGATTAGACCAGATGTTCACACTTTTAATAACCCACCCTCGTTGACATTAAGGTCCTCTTTTACTGAAGTTCGATAAAATCTCAGCTTAAGCCTTTTAGCCAAAGCTTCCGCCTCCTCACTGCAATGCAAGTAAAGAAAATACAATATTTTTTTATTCATAATGTTTTAAATAGAATTCACATTTGCCCTTAACATTCAGCTGCTTTACTGTTATTTTCTGTGAATTTTGCATAACACAATCTAATACTTACTTTTTTATAACAGTCTCTTCCAGGAGGTCAATTTTGTTCTGCACTAGAACTGTAGGAATATCTCCGACCTCTGCCTCCACCTTCTCCCTCCAGCTGTTAATAGACTGAAATGACTCCCTGTCTGTGGTAGAGAAGACCAGGACGCAGGCTTGGGCACCTGGAGTGCAAAATAATACACAGCTCAGCACGCAACAGTTGATGTTTTAAAGCTGACTTCATTGATTGTGATACAGTACCAGTCACACATCCAATCGAGGACATAAAAAAAAAAAAGGGCTGACCACAAAACACATGAAAACATATGGAAAAGTTCAAGGGGTATGAATACTTTTGCAAGGCACTGTATTTGTCACACTGGTGGGGGTCTTACCACGGTAGTAGGCCTTGGTGATGGCGTCAAATTCCTCCTGCCCTGCGGTGTCCCACAGCATTAGTCGGACCTCTTCATCATTTACGCTAAAGCAGGTAATTAAGGGAAATTATGTAATAATTTCTAGGTAGCATAACAACATCCAACACAAGTTTTTTTTCTGTAATATTCACAAAGGTTTGCCAAACCTGCACTTGATGTTTCATTATGCTCTGATGACTAACCAAGAGAACTTTAATGCCGAATTTGTAAAAAGAGCTTTTCCTGATGACTCCTGAAATGTTAGACATCAGGATTCGAATTTGTAAAAAGAGCTTTTCCTGACTCCTGAAATGTTAGACATCAGGATTTGATATTTATCACTGTGCACTGATTATGCACCTAATCGTTATTGTAGACTAAAAAAAAAAATATTCATTGTGACGTTGTAATTGTTGCCCGTCACCTCTGCAACAAGCCAAGACAAAAACATAGACTCTGGGACATCAGAGCACTGCAGTGATTTTAAATAAGAAACAAGGGTGTCAGTGTCGCAAGTTGCTTACACTATCTGCCTTTCCAGAAAGTCCACTCCTATGGTCTTTTTGTAGTCCTTAGTGAAGACGCCCTTGCAGTAACGTTGAATCATACTGGACTTGCCAACCGCTCCGTTGCCGACAACAACCACCTTGATGGCCACTTCCATGTCCTCCTCCAACATGGTGGAGCTGGTTTTCTCAGTTCCACTCTGCCTGGGTAGTTTCACTAATGTGACATGAACACATAAACCACCTAAAAGAGTAAAATAAATGAAACATGAACATGTAGCACATCTTTAAATCCTATTAAATTAAAACATCCAGTTTTTTTACAGTGTTAGTTATAAACTTGATTTACTGTCAAAGTTTGGTTAAGTTCAGCTTAGCATCAACTTTCTGACATCTAGTGATGAAAACACACTTTATGCCACTTCTATGACAGTTAAAACTTAGAGTTAAGAGACAGAAAACCTCTAAACTGAGGCTTCAATCTCAAACTTGTATTCTAATATAACCACTCTTCAAAAAAAGCACATGAATTTATTGAAACACTTACAATCAAACCGTTTTCTTGCTTCTCGAGGCTTTATGAGACATTCAACTAAACCAATGGGAAAGAGAACACAGATTACCTTACAGGTGAGATCTGTGCATCCTCACACTGTATCTTTGGATCAAATTAGCTGAACAAACATATACAATTAAAATACTAAGCTCCACACATAAAATAATTCATTGGCCAGTGGTCAAAACTCCAAATTATCCCATTTCAACTTCTTTTGCAGTTCAGCAAATTTAAAATTAAATTACTGTCAGCACTACAGGTTACCACAAGACTTTAATTTAGGAGGGAACGCACTATAATGAATTGCTGTAGTAAAAACTCAATGTGTGTAATTGTCCTTTAAAATATTAGCTGTGCTCAAATCAAACAAACTGTTGTAAATCTTACAGGGAGCGGTTTGTTTGGAGCCGCTGTGCAACATGTTTATTCTTCCTTGAGCACCGAGAGCAGCAGACTCCACATAGCAACTAGGTTTTCCACAGTTATATGTGTGGAGCTGCTGAGTGCAATGCTAAACAACATATTGTGGGAAAGCTGTTCCTAATGGACACTGACAACCTACTGTGTGACTGTGCTGTCCAACAGCCTGGATTTGAGTCACAATATGTATTGTAGTACAATATATTATTCATCAACTATAACGGATCAGCATGAGGCAGCATTTGTTATGACATACAAGCAAAATATTGCTTAAAATAAAACAGCCTGCACTTTATTTGCATCTGATGTGAAGTTTTACATTCACAGCAAAATGCATCCTGTACATTTAGATGTCACCTCAGCTCTAACTGATGTCAGGGTCCCCTTGCCAAGTTGTCAGTGTAATCATTTCTAGATGTGTAGGCTGAATTTGATTTAGGGTCACAGAAAGGGAGTCCAAGTGGTTATGCCGTTTTTCCACCGACTACGACATTATTACCCCCATTCATACTGCAGCCCACACATTTTACAAAATCATACACCTCTACTCCTAGACAGTGAGTCATCTTCACGGGCCTCAAGGCGGGGCACCGCTAACTAAACCCAACGTTTTAGGGCACAGAGAGAATAAAAACACTATAATGCCGAAAGATGTCATTGCTCGTTTCTGTTGAGGTTTAGTGCTCCTGTAAGTAATGCGGTATTTCCAGAGTCTGTTAAGAGAAGTTAGGTTTTTAGTTAACCTTTCATTCTACTTAGGGTGATCACATTCCTTCGCCTTGGTCAAGATATAACCCGTTAAATAGAAGCCGGCAAACAGAGTCTTTAATCACCGAGCAGAACTACTGTAAGTTGTATAATTAAATCTGAATGAAGGAAGCGGTCCTGTTCTAGATGGGTTTAAAAAAAAAAAAAAGCAAACAGACTGGGCAATTTCTTACCTGTAAAGAAGTCACGTTACAACTCACCCAGTATCCGCCAGCATTAGATGAGCTAATCAGTCAGCTATCTCACAATCACATATCTTTAACCTCCCTCCGCTCTTCTCTGTGGCAAGAGGGAACGCCAGCGAGTCTCGTGCTACGGTTGCCTAGCTAAGGTTAGCCACTTTTCAAACAGAACAGAACCTAATGTTAACGCTACTGTTCCACCCGGTTACGATGTTTAACTAAAATCTGAACAAACCAAATGTTATCAGCTTCACAACAACAAATAAAGTTTGATTAACGTCAATAACCGGGTAAAATCGGTGACATTTACAGGATGAAAATGCATGACTATCTATCGGTGAGCCTACGTTTCAGCTATGTTGCGCATAAGAGTAGCTAACGTTAACCAGGCAACTGGCTAGCTTACTAATGTTTGTTGCTAAGCAGTAGAGCCAAAGAGTGCACAGTGCAAGAGAATCAGCTACCACGGAAAAAAACGTCGTCCGGAAGTCTTGGGAGCATCTGTAGTTCCAAAGTCACGACTGTAAATGTTTAAGCCATTACATCTATAATGACTCCATCGCGATATGAATATTTTCTCCACAGATATCATACTTGTTCCTAGTGTGTTTAATCTCAGCGGCCGACGTTACAGACCACATCAACCAGAAGAAAAGTGTTCACTGATTAATAGGCTATTCGTGATAAACTAGATTTAGGAATTCAAAACAGCGCTACACTCAGCGGTCACTTTATTATCTCGGCTATACACATGTTGGTACAGTCCAGTGCAATCCAATACCATAAAATATACTTTTCTTATGCTTGAAATGCTGAGTTTTTGTTGAACCTTCTTAGAGGCCATAACATGTTTGCATGGAGATTGTGGTCTTTGTTCCGTGTGTGCCTTTGTTTATACTGATTGGTTGTTGCAGTTTGATTTTTTTTAGACAACTTACCAATATATAAGTATAGCTATAAATATTTAAGATACTATGTATATTAGAAGTGCATGAGTAAAAATTACACTAAGTAAGCCTAATAGGTTTTGCAGTAATGCATTTGTCATATTTTGTACACTGCAAAATATGACAAATGCATTAGTCCCATTAAGGCATATGGGACATGTCCCTATCCCCAGTGGTGAAACATGTATGTTGACATATATATTTACAGTAAATGAACGTGCCAATACAAAATAAATGTATCCTACTCTATTACAAGTAAAGGTCCTTCATTCATTATGTACGTAAAAGCACAGAGGTAACCTATTATCAGCTAAATTGTGCCTATAAGTATTATCAATAAAGGTAGGTCATTCTGCGTGAAAATGGCCCTGTCTTAATATTAGATTGTCATTACTAATGCAGCCATACTTAAATTTTATTTTAATGTTTATGAAGGTAGAGTCTATGGCCTAGTAGTTGAAACTGATTAATAGTAGTTTAGGTATATAGTATATCAGTGGATTATAAGATTGCCACGACATATTATATAAAATCTTAATTTCATAAAGAATAAAACGCATATTTCAATCATAGATGCGTGCATCTGACGTAGGCATGTTGTGTAGTGTAATATAAAGTAGAAATAATACTAATACTTAAGTGCATGTTCTTTAAAATTGTATAGTGTTACAGTACTTGCATTTGGTTGCTTTTCACTACTGCCTATGTTTGACAGAACCCCGCTGCCCTCACACCTTAATCACAGGACACCTAAGATAAGTTTTCCAAACTCTTGATTAACTTCGATTATTAATTGCAGAAAGTCTCGATAAAAAAGAGGCTACCTAAACCTTGCTACTAGACAAATATTTACATCTCGGTCTATGGGTAAACCCACGTGTTCTGGGTACGTTTTAATGTATCAAACGCAAGTTCCTGTTGCATTTAGGTCGGCGTCGGAGACCATTCGTAAAAATAATACAGTCTTTAAACCACTCTTTATTTTAATCGAAACGAATGGCTCGTAGTTGTCATACAAAAGTAGGAAATATTTTCTTGTGATTTTTTTTTTCTTCAATTTAGTTGAGCACGAACATCATGAAAGGGAGATCTTCGCCGGTTTACGCGGAACAACGAAACGAGCGTACACACAGTACGACAGCCGTTCTCTTCCTGAATTGTTTAAAAACGTCATCATTTACCCGGGCTCGTTGTACAGCCCCATTTTTTTGTTTTTTGGCGGGATTGAACTTAAAGGAAGGAGCTCCGACGTCTAATCGGTAATGAAACGATAACAGAATAATTTAAGTGTTTCCTTGGTACATTTAATATGACGTGCGATACGTTGGTGATTGTTACAGAGTTCGCTGGTCTTCGACACAGTGCCAGCTGGTTTCATGGCTTCATATTAGCTAGCATCTCCCACAGTGGAGTAGTTGGCCTGTGTTCGGTTTAGATATGTGTCGTTGAGTAACTTAGCTGGTGCTAAAGATGCAGTCAGAGAAACGTGCTCTGTTACTGGCTAAATAAGTGGGGTAGCTGGTTTTATAAAGGATAACACTCATTTTATTAAGCCCACTGAGCACTTCATATCTAGCTTCTTCATTTATTTCATAAATCTTTAGAGGCTAGTATTGGCAGGCCAGTGAACTTGGCTTTCTAGTGGATTCAGTTGATTTTAGGCATATACTGGAATCAACATATACCTTAGTGAAATTAGTGACGGCAGCTTTCTAAGTCCAACTTGATGCAAATAAAACTATCCTGAAAATGAGTAACAGCCTTCTGCATAAAACTTTGGATTCTTCACCTTTCCATATTCTTTAATCGTGTGTCTACAGAGTATGATGACTTGTGGTGTTTGAACATTTTGAATGATCTTTTAATGTAAAGTGACTAATTCCTGAGTAGTTGAAGGGTTCAGATAGCTTACTTTAAAGACAACACTGTCATGATGAAGGAGGGCTTGTCCATAATTTAACAATCCAAGTGTTGTCAGTGGTTTACCACAGGCATAAACAATTTATTAACCTTCAATGAAACTATTAATTACATCTTATAAAGCCTTTATAAATGGCTTCTTATCAGGAAATGACACCCAGTTAATGTGTTTTTGTGGCAGAAACATCTGACATATGAGACCAAATAGGGTCAGCGGATTACTAATTGTTGGCATTGTTGTTATGAATCAATGTATTAGATTCATGAAGATTTAACTAGTTGTGCATTTTTACCCAATATACTCTGTGCTGTTCCCCAAATGCCAGCACCCTGGTGAAACCTATAAACAGAAATAAAGCATTGCATCTGGGGAAGAGCTGTGCAAATTGTTTGACTGTTAGGAACGTCTTTTGAAGCTCTCATCTCACCATGCGTACAAAAATTTAAAAATGCCATTGTATCAGATGTGCTAGAATGGTGGTAGCTAATGGCCTGTTATCTGTTGTTCATTAAACATTCTTATTTTACCTTACCATCAGGCACAATGCAGTTTTCTCGCCGAAGAAAGAACCATGTTGCAAACCCTCAGATGGAGCTCTATGGACACGCTCTGCAGTTCTATGGGAAACCTCCTCTTGAAAACATCTCTCTCACTGAATTTGAGACATTTGCTGTGGACAGACTGAAATGTAAGACCTTGCTCAAGTGAAATTTAAAAATTGAAATTGGATGTAAGCATGGTTTTGTCTGCTGCTGTGAAATACATTCTTAACATATTATAAAAAGGTCATGCTATGTACATTGTCCTCTGCAGTGTTGAAGATTGTTGAGAGTTTGGGAGTGAGCCACGTGAAACTGTCAGAACCGTACAAACACAAACTGGAGTACGAGTCTAAAGTCCTGAACCTTTCTCACAGACTTAGCACTGTGAGTATCTTTAGCATGGCAAACGTCAAAACTGTTTAAAAAACTTAGCAGTGTGTAAACCCCTATCTCCTTTACTGAGTTCACATATCACAGTCACAAAACGTCCTTTCACTTTCATTTTATCTCATAACTAAAATTAATTAAAATCTCAGGTGAGAGCAGATGAATACGAGAAACGAAGAAAGGACCATATCTCCCACTTTATTCTCAGACTCGCCTACTGCCAAACGTAAGTCTGTTATTTCTTTAGAATGACTCTTGTGAAAAAATGCTATGCAAGTGCATGTATTTCAAATACAATGAAATATTTGTTAATTTCTGTTGGTGTTTCATAGGGAAGATCTGAGGCGCTGGTTTATACAACAGGAAGTTGATCTATTCCGTTACCGCTTCAATGACCTGTATCCAGAAGAAAAGCTTGAATTTCTGCACATAAATAATCTGCAGTATGACAGGGTAAGTTTCTGGAAGTATTTATTGTTTGTATTTGCTGTATTGTTACCAGAGGGTTAGATTTGAATAACGGTGAATAATACTGTGCGTTACATTCCCAGCTCAAGTTCTGAGTGTGTTGTGTTAGACCAGGAGCCAGCAAGCTGTGCAAGCTGCCTCTGTTCACAACACACTGATTTTCAACAGTGTTTTCACTAGATGGAGCTGTATGCTCGCTGTAACTGGACCCATTAAGGACTTTTGTTTAATGGTGATTAAAATGTTTCAGTGTGTTGAGAATTTTGTGGAAATATATTTCAGAAATGATTAACGTACACAAATGCTATTTTGAATGCTCGTAGTAATCTTAATGCGAATAATAAAGGTATAACAGCAGTGTGTTTACATTTTGCTATTATGTATTAAGTATGGCTTTGGACCTACCAAAGGAAAGCACTTCAAGTTTTCATAAAGTAGCGGTGAATGCCTATAGGAAAAATGAAAAATCAATTTAATAATTCATCAGTAGGTAATGTGTAGGGCAACGATGAAAATGGTGCTTTCATTTGATAAATGATGTTTGGTTTCCATGAGCCTCAGACTTCTGTGTATTCACACTTGACACCGTTCTGCCTTTGCACCTCTTCAGTGTCATTCATCATCTTCATCAATCATTTTTCAGATTAGTGCCGAGGAGAAGGAGAACCTAAAGTCTGAACTTGTCAATTCCAGTGCTGTGATCAGTGGAGTCGTCGTGGAGGATCAGGACTTCTACAAAGTGAGTTGCTCATCGCTTTCCATTGAAACCACTGAGAGTTTTAAGTGTTTCTGTCTCCATCAGACAGTATCGTTCTACAGTTTATATTGCTTTATTTCCTATGTGGTAAATGAAAGTTGCAGAGGCAAACTGTCTCTACATACATAGTGCCATGACCTTTTTTTTCTATTCTGAATGATAGAACTTTAACAGTTTTAACATTATCTTAACAGACTACCACACAATGTTAAAATCGCCCTCCCCTCTGTGGTTATCTTCAACGTGACTGTTCTTTTCACTTTCAAAAGATCAAGTATTTCCTCCCGAGCTACTTTTTACTGTTTTGTTTGTTTGTTTGTTTGTTTGTTTTTGGTCATTCTTAAGCGCTTAATGGTCATTTTAATGAAGTAGTGTCCAGAACAACAGGAATTCTGTACTGTGGATATTAATGTGGCACTTTGAAAGTTGAGATTGATTGTTATGAGTTTTATCTGCGAAATACATTGGTTGGAGGTCTGGTCTCCATTAATGGAGGCTGTGTTACAGACTGAGGAAATATTCCTCCCTGATGGTCTTAATCAACTTTGTGGAGATTTCATGTTCTTAAAAATGCATCATCTGAGTAACTTCCATTACATTTTATTGTTGAATTACTTAATTTTTACATAGTGGAGAAATCTCTTAAATCGGTCTGAATAGAGAGCCTGAAAAGTCATTGTCTGATTGACAGATTGCTGTTAAAATCTTTCGCAGCTGAATGTATTCAGGTCTACAATTTGTGTATTCACATAATGGAAAAGAAAAAGAAAATGTCAAGGTCCTAGTACTTGAATTTAAATTTACATTTTTCACTTGTTGCTGACACGAATGTGCAGTTAAGCAAAGATTTGGCCTTAACATCCTGGCACTTAACATGCCTGCAAATGGATTATTAACAAGTACATCTGTTTAATACAGTGACTATTTAAAACATTTTTTCTCCAACTCTAATTTTATTTTGAAGGTTCCATTTCAAGATGCCCTGGATCTGGTACGAACAAGGAAAGTGTACCTCAAAGCAGGCTATGTGTACATCCCTCACCAAGACATTGTCGCCATTGTTCTCAATGATTTTCGCACAAGACTGTCTAAAGCTCTTGCAGTAAGTGTTTGCATCTTCACTGTTTTAGAAAGGATGAATAACTGATGTTATGTAATCTAACAGAAAGCTCAGAAACAAATTGGATTGTGTGCTTAAGAGAACTTTGACAACTTCAGCCATATTTTGCTGTAGTTTATGCTGTAAAAATATAATGGCTGTTCAGACCCCTTCACCTTTGTAACCATTGTTATCAACTAACACTGAACAGCCCTTAGTGATAAAGTGAATAGTAGTATGTGTATGTGTGTACACATATAATATCTCTATCACAAAACAAAAACGCTGAGTAAAGGGCTATATTTGCATCTTTTTTTTCTACATTTTTTAAATAATGTGACAAATATCATGGGCTTTTTGTTTTGGCAATATCGAGCCATGACTTTTTGGTATTGTTACACACCACGGAACATATTTAAAGAAATATTTGCAGATTTATTAAAAATCTAAAACTGAAATCTGTCATAACCAAAGGATTGAGACCCTTTGCTGTGGCACTCCAATCTGTGGCCGCGTACGTAGTGAGAAGTGTCTGTAACTTAATGGGAGTCTTAACTGTGGCAAAATGAACTAACTGGACGTAGTTTAGAAAGACACACGCCTGTGTGTAAGTGTGTGTGTGTGTGTTTGGCCCCACAGTTCACACTATATCAAAAACCAAGCCATGAAGTCCAAGGAACTCTGTAGAATAAATAAAAATATGATGACTCATAGATCAGGGCATGGGTATTTCTAGAGCTTTGAGCGTTCCAAGGAGGACGGTGGCTTCAGTAATTATGGAAGAAGCTTGGAACAACCAGGACTCCTCCTAGAGCTGGCCATCTGTCCAAGATGAGTAACTGGGAAAGAAGAGACTTGGTCAAGGATGTGACAAAAAAAAACCAAGTCAGTTTTAAATATTTGCATAGAATTCTAAAAACCATGTTTTCACTTTGGCATTGGTTGAGTGGAGATTGATGAGCAACATTGATAACAGTACTTGTACTTTATGTAAATACATTTTATGTATAAGAGAGATATATTCATATGGTTCCATATACGTATAACTGGTTGTTCTGTTCAAACAGCAAGTATGAAAGTGCTTTTGTTTTAAAAGGCTGTGGAAGGGTGTCTGAAGGCACAATGTGGGCACACTTGTGCATTGCATTGAATGCTCTGCAGGACACTGAACATGATGTTTTGGGAACCAGAGGCATTTTTTTTTTATACACGTGACGAGACAACCATGGTTCTGTTATATTGCGGTGAGTGGTCCTGACTGGGGAGCACACACAAGCGTGCTAGGCAACTAAAGGCGGTGGCACTGTATAGGTGCCAAAGAGGTAATTGAACCCTTAGGTTTTTTTAATTTCATTTTTCCTGCATTGAGCAGTAGAGTCCATAGAACTCTGAATATTAGTCAGCCTCGGATGCCTATGCACATACATGTACGTTATGTGTCCTCCTTTAGTTTGCTTCTTATCACCAGAAAGCCCACTGTTGAAAGATGCACTGCCTTTCCAAAGCAGCTACTCGAGTCTGCCTTGGAGCTCCCAGTTGATTACTTTGGCACTTTGAACAAAGGTCCGTTTTTGTTCTATGGTGGTGTTATGTTGTCCAGCTCTTGTATTTAACTGAGCAATCACATTCAATCGGTGCATTTCAAAGTAAAGTCTGTGTTCATGACAAAGATTGCACTCTGCTTAGCCACTGATCTAAAAGGTCTATTGACAAATTGAAAAAAACAAAACAAACCCACTACTGGACCAGATAGGTGAAGAATCCCCATAGGACTACACTGGCTGTAGAATCCATTGGAACAGTGGGTAACATGTGCTTTATTTGCTTTAACCTGAACACGTTCTCTGTCATAGCACCAGCAGGACTTTTTTCCCAAATGAGGGGGGAAAAAAAAGAAATTAAAAAGGACAACTTGGTCCAGTTCCCATTTCCTGGTAATTATGCAGACCACTAGCTGTTGGAATGCAGTTAACGCTCCACAACAATTTTTGTTGTAACTGTGCCATTGTGACTGTTTGTGTCACTATAATGGGCATTGTCCTCCACTGGGGACAGCAAGGGGACATTGCAGAAAATGTCTCATTAAAAAGGCATGAAATTGAAATCTGCTTCCCTGTATGACTCCGGCTATTGGTTTGATGTTTATTTTAACAGAGAGACATATAGTAGCCTATAATAAGCAGCTTTTATTGTGCTATGTGTAAGGCAGACTTGAAATGATTGAGACTGCTAATTGGAGTCATGTCTATAAAGCAGTTGGTCTAAGCTTTTTGTTGGGTGTGGATGTGAGTTCATCTGTAGGTTTGCTCTTAAGCTAAAAATTAGACTGCTGGAAATAATATATAGCAAAAGATTTTGTGTTCAAACTGAGCGTTGAGCTTACTCCTGGTAGATAACTTTGGTTTACCTGTTTGGTTAACTTTATTTTTTTTTTTACAGGTTTCTACCTTTTTGGATGATGTTCTGAACAAAAATGCTGTCTTAATTATAAGTGTGTGTGTGTGTGTATCTATATTTCCTGAAGGTTTAAGTAGTAATTTATTTCTGTATTTGGAGTTTGTTTTTTTTCCACTCTGATTGAGTTACTAAGATGTGGCCTTGTATAAATATTGTTCTTTTTAATGCTTAATCCTTGCACCTTGCAGTGATATGCTCTAATCCTTTGACCTACACTACTCACCATTACTCGTGTGATACCCATTTCCTCTGCAGTTGACAGCCCGCTCACTGCCAGCAGTGCATTCTGATGAACGGCTCCAGCCGCTCCTTAACCACCTCAGGTAAACAGCAGGATTAATAACTTTGTTGCCATTTTGAAAGGACCCTGTGGAAAAGGAGATTTAGCAGGATTGATCTTTGGCACCAGGGAGGTTTGGGGGCTGTGGCTGTTCTGAGACAACCATGTAGACAGATCCAGATGTTGGGTGAACTTGTGGTGCCACTCTTGTGTGCAGCAGCATTATCTGTTCCTAGTATACTTGTCTTGTTGGTAGGCCTGGAATGGACTCTTTATCCCGCCGCTGTCCTGCTGTCAAGCTGTTCTGATGACTTTAAAGACACAACATGCAGCTCACGTCTCACTTTCAGTGTGGGTTGAATGGGATCGCGCTTCTGGTGCAGTAAAAAGCATTGCTTATCTTGATGAGTTGAGGGGCAAACCTTTGTTAAATATTCAATACAAGCCTGTCTCTTCCTCCAGGTACTGCACTAAAACTGCATGTTGGTTTATCAATACTTAAAATTTTGCCTATTACAAAAAAAGCACCTCTAAATCCAAACAAAAGATCCGCTGCTAGCTTGTTTTACTGAGGCATCAACTGTAATCGATGCCTTGCTGTAAAACCTTAGAGGTGGTCACCATTGAAAGTTAATGTGAATCAATAACAGCACGTGCTTTTGCATTAAGTAGTAGCTTAATAGTAGGTGTCGTTTCAGTTTCAATAGCAAAGCGAAGTGGCTCAGAACACTTCACAGGTCTTTAATTTACTTCAGATGAAAGTACGAACATGAATTTAGGAGTGGAAGAAGTCATGGTGCCTGATTGTTTATGGGGGATTAGTGGGCAGGTTGTTGAGATTAGTGGGCAGGCCACTAATCTCTATGGCAGGGGGAAACACAATGTGATGTGAAGCACTGCCACACGGGATTTAGTGGACCGCCAAAGTCATCGATTTTAAAAATCGGCTGATGGAGGCTTACCGGTTTGTTTGGAAGGATGTTACAAAGGCTGTATGATATTGAAGTTTGTAATATTGCATTCAAGTTTTCATTATTTTAGCTGCTTGTTATAAAAATGGATAAAACATCCCTCAGACAATCTGACCATTTTTTATGGCAGTCCTAATTGCTTTAATATTACTAAAGAAATTCAGTCTTACTTCTCAGACCAAATAGTTCTCATATTTGTGTCTTACTGTAGTCATGCCTATGTGGGACAAGATTACAGCAACCAGAAGAACGTTGGGAAAATCTCCTTGGAACATATCGATTCGGTAAGTTGCCTTGACCATCTATTCTTGAAATGTCAAGCGCAAGGTGCCATTTTATTAAAGGGGAGAAATGAGGTTTGTATAGTAATACTAGTGGCCCAGAACTGGGAATGAATCTAAGTATATCTAGTGGTTTTGGTTTTAGTCAGTCAGTGACACACTGGGCCTCACCATTCATACAAATAGATTTGTTCATACTTGAGGCAAATCAATGTGGTATGTGTGAATTTGTTTTACTGAGGGCTTTTTTTTTTTTTTTTTTTAGATCTTACTGTTTCTTTTGGCACATTTCATCACAGCAGTCTGTACATTTCAGTAGTTATTAGGAAAATCCTTTCTCACTTAGCTACCTCATGGTATGACTGCAGATTGCTGTTCACCTAACATCACCTACTGTAGGCTGCAGTGTTCTTGAATCTAATGTCTTGGTGAATGTTGTCCCCTTGACTGCCTCACATATTAGTCACTGACTGCTTTGCTTTAGAGAGATGTTTTTAGCATCTAACTTTGTGTAGCCAGAAACCTTCCCTATTTATTTCTGTCACAGCGCTGCTCTGATGATATGCCAGTGACAGATGTACTCATCTTTTTCTAATTGTTATGGCTCCTCTAATATGACTACTAAGTCCTCAGAATTTTGGTTTTTGTTTGCCAGTTCAGACAGCAGACTCCTTTTCCTTTTCACAAACTAAGCGGAAAAGGCAGCTATAATTTGGCACTTTTTGGTGTTGATTCTACCAAGGATCAAATCTCACAAACACACACCTCCTCATGAGCAGGTGGTATTCATCAGTCTGGAACAAACACATGCTCGTGCAGTTAAGAGAGTTTGGTAAATCTTACTTGGCACACTTATACGAACAGGCCTCAGAGAAGAAATAAGAGAAATTTAGGACAAGAATATGAAAATGTTCCTTCATGATGCTCAGTATGTTTAATATGTGGTTGATAGGACTGAAAATTACATTTACAGGTACTGATGATTTTTAGTTGTTTATTTTTGCATGATAAGTAATTTGTTGTTGTTTTTCTGCATCCAGCTGTCTGGAAAGTCCTTCCCACTGTGTATGAGGCAGCTCCACCAGGCTCTTAGAGAGAACCACCATCTCCGCCATGGGGGCCGTATGCAGTACGGCCTCTTTCTCAAAGGCATCGGCCTCTCTCTGGAGCAGGCACTGCAGTTCTGGAGGTCAGAGTTCATAAGAGGCAAAGTGGATGCTGATAAGGTAATTTTGACAACACTTGAGTATAATATATTTTTTTCTTACTTACTTAAAATTTTATTGCTTCTAACTTGAATGTGTTGTCATAATAACACAGTCAACTACATTATGCACAATTGAGCAACATAACAATTATGCAATGATCCATGTCATAAAAGACATGGGTTGATGCCCATGGTTAGATTTACATGTAACCTAATCCATCATTATTTTCAAAATAAGATTAAATGGTTTTAGTATTATTATTATTCAACTTTTGCATCTATTTTTTTGGCTTGTGACTTTAAAAACGTAGTGTACTAATTCCTTAAAACAAAGGATGAATTAATTAGTGTACATCAGTATATGGGAAGTTATAACATGAAAGTCACAAAAAAGCTTAACTGAATCTAAAAACTTAAATTTAAACAGTTTCACATCAAAAATGTTTTGTTTTTTTTTGTTTTTTGCCACCATTTAAGAACTAATTGGGCTTTCCTTTGCCACATATTAATCTTCTTTAATTGTAAAAATAAGTTTCCTGCTGGTTTAACAACATTTGTAATTGAATGTAATTAAGACATTCATTGTGTCAAACTGTAAACCCCGTGTCATATATCAACCCAAGTTCCAAGTTGGTTGTATCATTACACCCCTAGTTGCCGCTGTGAAAACTTTAGAGCTGTAAAATCCTGGCTGTAAGTACTGTGCTGGTTTTGGCACACAAGTTTTAAACACATAAATCAGCTCCCTCAACTGGACTTCTGGGGTTATTTTTCATTGTCTCGTTGATGCATGGGAAAAACATGCCCACCAATGCAGAATCCTGCAATGTTTCATGCAGGGCAAAATGTTGTGTGGCTACAGCCTCACAAAGAGTCCATCTAGCCTACCTTCAGCTGCTCCTGGCCTAGTATCTGTTATTGGCCCCCAGTAGGACCCTCATGGTACACTGGATTCATGTTGCATCCCCTTTTTGGTGCCCCATTTCTGAGGTGGCTTGATGCTCATGCACATGCTCCCAGGGAAAGTATGATGGGCTCTGCACAGAGGCCAGCTCTTGTTCCACTGCAGAGGCAGCAGTATGGTGCTGACCAGATCACAGCTCTCACAGTGATGTATGTGTTGTGTCAGGGACTACACTTGGTGGCAGACTGCACAAAGCCTACTCATTTGTATGCGGCAGACACAGAGAAAAAGATGGGAGCCAGCAATGCCAATAGGGAGACTTGGAGAAAGAGGCAATGTAATATTAGACTAGAGGGAGAGACGAAATTGATGAAACGAACTGGATCTATCAATTTTTCCTGTGCAGGATGTTGGGCTATTATTTTGGAGCCATCTTTGTACCACCTTGTAGTGTGGTTGCATGGCCTCAGGGCAGGACTGCTTGTTTTACAGATGTTAATTAAATTCCACTAACTGACACCATTTTTCACAGTATAGGTTTGGCTTCCTCTGGGGCTTTTCCAGCAGTGGATGAGATTCATTGGATGTCACTTAATATTAACTGCTGTTAAAGTTTGATTATAAAACATAAACCAATTTATTTTTATCCCTAATATTTTTAGTACATTGGAAAGAAGCCTTCTAATTCCTTTTTTGCAACCCTGTATAAAAAAAATCCGTAGTCAGTTTTTTTAGTCTGTCTCTTTTTGGATAAATCCAAGTTGTTGTCGTATTTAGTCATTCCTTCATCAAGATGGAGGAATTCAATGGGACTCATACGATTAAAATGAAATCAAAGTGAGTTTTTGTGTCGTAAATGACATTTGCTGATATTGGCTTAACTTATTGTTTGTGTTTTTAAAAACGGTAGGTGTTTATCTGATTTGTTAGGAAAAAATCTTTTACTGATAGTGGAATTGATATTCAGTATTTGTCGGGGGGGCGTCCATTTCTTCTTTCTGCTGTGTTTGTAGTCCTCCACCTTTTGTTGTTTCTAGGGTTGAAACCGCCTGTAGTGCAGATTAAAAACTCCAGTAATGGTGTTATATACCAGAGGGATTAGAGCTATAGGTGCATCAGTCACTATGGACTGAGCTGAAGAAGCCAGGCTAAGTTTACACACATGCACTCACACACACACATACATATAATCCCTTTTATTGTGTCCTATTTCTCTGTCTCCATCGCCACAGGTTTTTGTGAATGTGTCCTAGAGTGTGGGGGGATTTTACAGCCCCACGAGCCAAAATGTGGCTCTGCTTCTTTTAATACATCCTTTGTGAATATGTTTCTCTACTGTGATCATCTGAAGTCCCTCTTTTGGAGGTCAGCGGTATTAAAAGTATATCCAGAATTATTTAAATGGGGGAATTGAAGCTGGCGATTAGAAGAAACCCCGATTCATGAGTATTTATTAAATGCTAGTTTTGTAATCGGTTTAATTTTAAACTTCCATATTTGGTACCTCAAACAAACTGAGTCTCACCAGGAAGAAATGAAAGTTTAACATCATATCATCTCTGTCTTTGTATCAAATTTCTAGACCACATAGGATCTTTTCATGTCCTAATTATTTCACATAATACATATTAAACACACTTTAGGTTTATGAAGTTGGGGGGGGTCTTAAATCAGGAAGCAGCCTTTTGAATCCTTAAAAGCTCTACATAATTAATATTTGATTTATTGTACTTAAAGAAGATTTTATGGCTTTTTAAATTGCCGTTGCAGTTTGTCACATTAGCAATTTCAACGGTTTTATTGCAACATTAATGTGCTGTGATGGGTATAGTCATGGTGATTGTGTTCTCCCACTGTCGAAGCACACTCTGTGTATTTTATTGTTAGATTTTTAGAGGCAGGGTCCCTGTAACTCATTTTTAATGGCTGCAGAGATATACTGTACATATAAAAGGAGTTCACTGTGAAGATTTTGTAGCATGACCCCCATCAAAAAAGTATGAATGGCTTTTTGGTTGAGAACAAACAGGACAGAATGTGATGTGAAAGTCTACACGTCTGACACTTCGAAGTTTATTGATACAGTTCACATGTGTCCTTGGTCTTGGTGTTTTGTTGTTCGGGAGATCTTGTAAAGATTTTCCCAGATAATAAATCACATGGTGGGATTGAATGCAACCCTGCTACAGTGTGGCCATAGATAAATGTAATAAATTTAAGCAAGGCCTAGTTTATTTCTGACTGTGAATGCAGTCTGTTAGCACGACTTAGTAGTAACTTGGTGCTGTGCTGTAAATAAAAACAAAAGGGTTAGAAAATGTATTCAGATAAAAAATGGGGATGCTCTGTTTATTCAGCTTAAAAATTCTACACAGATCTTATATAAACCTGTCACTGTAACCGATTTCTTTTTGATCATTTTCAAGACTAATTGTTCAGTCTATAAAATGGTGACAAATACCCATCACATTATTCTATAACCAGACTTCCTCGTTGTTTGACCAACAATCCAAAACCCTAAGATGTTTAGTTCACATAAGACACAAGCAGTTTTTACTTCAGTACATGTATGTACATTTACGTCAATACTCGTTCTACAGGAAAATATGGCCCCTGTGGCTGAAGCATTATCATAAGTGATTAGATTGATAATACTGATGTATCAATGGGTGAGCAACATTTTACTGTTCAGTTGGAGCGAGTTTTCGCTACTCCAGCTACAGTTTGGTATTTTAGCAAAATTCAGACCCGTTCCACTTGGTCGCAGAATAAATCCGGGGTGGATTTGGTTTTGATACACAAATCTGTCTTCTTTCTTTTTTTTTTTCTTTTTTTTTTTATACCTTCTGTCCAAATTTTGAGAAACATGGAATAGTGATAGATTTTTGTAAGTAGTCATTTCAGCTGCCAAATAAATATAGTGGAGTAAAAGGTTCAATATTTTCCTCTGAAATGGAGTAGAAGTAAGTATAAAATGGGAAAAACTGAAAACATTGTATGTTATTTCCCACATCCGTTCCTTTATTTACAACACACTCTTCATACTGATTCAGACTCTTCAGGACAAGGAGCAACAGCACTGAGACAGAAGGATGGCCGTATAACCATAAGTCAACTGTCTAAACTGTGGTAACACCTGTATAGTGGGCTCTCTCTAATAGTGCTATATGTCAGTGAGGAAAACGCTCTGTCAAAACTGACATGATGTATGACAATGTCTCTTTTCACCCCAACCTTGTCCCTGTTACTCTCATCCTCACTAATTCTTTCTCTTCCTCTCTTCTCTCTTTCTTGCTCTCTGAAGTTTGACAAAGCATATGCCTACGGCATCCGACACATGTTTGGCAAAGAAGGCAAACGAGCAGACTACACCCCCTACAGTTGTATGAAGGTGATTTTGTCAAACCCACCCAGCCAAGGTGACCATCATGGTGAGTTTGCAGCTGTTGAAGAAGCCATTACCCACGTGATATGCCGCTCGTCTGTCATTATCAGGCTGTGGAATAGTGACACAACTGATCGTGGACACTGTTATTACCAAGATGAATAGATCATTTTCAACAGCCTGACTTTCAGTTTCCAAGTAGCATATTGTGAATAATATATTTACATTTCTTCTATATCTATTTCTTTTCATTAATTTTCACTTTGTTTGTAGGGTGTCCATTCCGTCACAGCGACCCAGAGCTGCTGAAGCAAAAGCTTCAGTTCTACAAAGTATCTCCCAGTGGAGTCAGTCAGGTGGGTGTAGGACTCTTCAGTGACTGGGCAGCACTCTAGCCATCGTCCTCTCTTCTACATTTCTCCACTAATCTCATGAAACTCAGCTAATAAAAGCTGTTTTAGTCAGTGGGTTTATGAAATCAGTGTCATATAAAAAAGTTAATTCAGAAACTGGCAAATGGTACTACTCACTACCCCCTCAGTCACTAAGAGCAGTTGATGCTAGAAGTAGTTTTCAGTAACATTCCACTTACAACAAAAGCAATTTGAAATTGGTTGCAGCACATACTTGACACTAACACTGGTGGGCAGATGGCAGGCACCATCTTGTGACTGACTTTGCAGGTATTTGCTCATAAACCAGAGCATTGGACACAAGTTTTATAATTATAATGATTTGCATTTATGGTGGTGTTCACAGGATGATTTTCAATAGACTTGAAAAGTAAACACAGTTAATACAGTAATGATACAGTATGATCAGGTGATGTTCAACATATAGTTTCCTAGTCCTTTAAACTTGCAAATAGCAAGTAGAGCATGGATCGGGTCACATATTTCTGTCCAAACCCGACCTGTGCCTGAGAGAGTGGCATCTAAACCCAACCCGGACCCCACAAGCTTATAGTATATAATGTTCCTGCTGTTCCATTAAACAAAAATAATAAAAACGACAATATCTGGCTGAGACACTGCACAGCTCATCACTGATCCAGTACCAGCACTGAATATGCTGGTGGCAGCCTTCAGGAATATAGAGACTAATGATGGAGGCAAATGCAGACAGATTCCTCAGGATAGTCTCTCTGACTTAGCACTGAAGACCTTGGATTTATTTTTCAGCAGGTCAGTCGCCCTGAGAATGCAGTCACACTAACACTACTGTGGTTTTATGTGAGAATGTGAGCGCCCTTATGTGACCCATCCAAAGCCTGGGCTCCAAACTGGCTGCTCTCACTTTTCAACAGAGCTTCAGAAAACCAGGAAGGAAAAAATAGAAACACACGAAAATAGAAGACTTGAAGGTGTAATCGTTGCCAGCGGCTATTCTACAAAGCTTTGACTCAAGGCATGAATATTTAAATTTGCCCAAATAAGCCTCTGATCTGTTTTCATTATATTTGTAACGGTTTCTTGAAGGCGGTGTTCACTGCTGTCATCATGATTTATGAGGAATGTTTGTGTAGGTAATGGACAGAAAGCCAGTTAAAACTATTTTGAATACATGGTTGCACTGTCATAAAACGTTGACAGTATCTTCTGCAAATGTAAAGTCCGTGTCTAAGGTGTGACAGTGCAGTCAAAATTTCTAAAACAATTTCAGTTTTTCTCTCCTCTGTTTTGTTGCAGATCATGGAGCTGGTTAAAGGAATGCACTATCAGCTGGCGTGCCAGAAGTACTTTGAGCTGACACACAATGTAAGTAAGGGAATTTAATCTGAAGCGGTGCTACCTGTGTCGGGTCCTCACGTGAATGAAGGCTCATGAGAGACTGTCATCTCATCCATTATTAGCTGGCTGTCATGGCCACTTAATTTTTTAATTTTATAGGTTTATTATGGGAGTTAGATCTGTTTTGTCCCTCGTGGATGCTTATTTGATTTAATTTGTTTAAGTCTGGATGCTTGAGTCATCACCCCTTTCAGTCATACTCAAGGTCTTAGTTTTAGATAAAAGCAGGGATTGAAAAAACAAGGTCGCCCATGTTGCGGTTTAGTCCCCCTCACCAGGAGGGTGAGGGAAAACTGGGGTTGGACTCAAGATGGCTGACCCAGGTGCCAGTACAAAAAAGGTGGTTTAATGGAATAAAAACAACAAAGTGACAACATAACAGGGTCCATAATACATAATACATACAACCAGGGAAGGGCAGTGATGACTAAGGAGACCAGGACAAACAGGTAAACACACAAACTAACGACAGGATCTAGGATAGCAGAGGATGAGAACGGACAGGCGAACAAAAAGAACCAATGTACACAATGTAATCCACAGCACAGGGACTGTCAGCGTGGAAGACAAAAGGACATATTGCTAAGCGCATAATAGCGTGATAAGGTCAAGCCAAAACGCACAGGAACTGTCAGCGTAGCATCTTAAACACGTCTAAAATTGCGGGTCAAACATAACATTTATCTTACTTTGGGTAAGTATTGTCCGTTACATGTCGCAATGCTCCGGCCACGACGGGGCGTCTGCCAGAGGTATAAATAAGGAAGCCAACAAATCACCGGAATACGCCTCAGGTGTGTGCACCGACCCACGAGTCACTAATGGCCCGATGCGACACCGCTGAGGCGTTGATCCCGCAAAAAGGGAGAGCAGGAGAGGGAAAAAGAAAGAGAGGCAGGTCGCGCCGAGCGGACCTGACAGCCCATTAAATTCCCATGGCACGATGATGGCTTTTCTTTCAGTTACTCGCTGCATTACATAGCTTGGTATATGATGTTTAAGTTGGAACATTTATTTTGAATTGTACTCTGTATTACATGTGAATAGGATCAGTAGTTACACAAACTTCCTAAAATTGCATTGTGTTTATCTCATGACACATTAATTGTAATAATGATACTGAGGTCTATTTTTTGTTGCTTGTTTAACACATTGAGTGCATTTACATGGACAAGACTATCCCAGTTATTATATTTCTTATTAATGTTGGACCACATAGTAGTTTTGGATCTGAGTTGTTCTGATGCATGTTGGGAAACCAGTGTCCTGTAACTTGTTCACTACAGATTAGAAAAGATCACCGTTTCCATGTTTTCTCCCATCTAAACTACCGAGTAGCTACCCTCATGAACAAGGCCCAGTATGCCCACCAACAGACTTTCATTCAAACCCCAGTGATCAAAACATGTACATTACATTAACACAACTTGTTGCACACTTTTGCTCGATATATACATTTGTTCTGCCTCTGTCAGCCTGTTTTGTACAGTGTACTGCTCCTTTTTCAGTTCTGCAACATATGTATATATTTCATGGTTGATTTTGTTATTCCATGTCCTGAAAGGGCATTTTATCTTTTCAGTTTGCTGTCATTGAATAGCTGGCTGGGGATTTAGCTCACTACTGTGGCCTTGGAATCCCTCATTATTGTTAATAAATTAGTAAATTAGCTAACCCTTCCATATATTCCTCAATGAAGCAGATGTTACACAGTCATCTTATAAAAGGTGACATTGACTCAGTTGGTATTCGTGTAGATTCTCAGTCATCCAGGTCATAGTACGCTAAAAAAACAGAAAAAAGTCATCTGGACTTAGTTTTTGGTTGAAGACGTTTCACCTCTCATCCAAGAGGCTTCATCACTTCTGCCCAACCGGAGATATTTATCCCCATCGGTGGTGTTTCAGTCCTTTGGTGGCCAACGATGTCCCCTGACGACTGTCGTTATAGCCCAGTATCAGTGAGCGTTGTTACCTGTCTTTGAACCCTCACCTGTGGACCGACACCTATTGTCCTGGTGGAGTTGTAGATGGATGACAAGTTGTGTCTTAGTCCACCACCCCTAGTTAGAGGACGGTGTTCTATTTGGACAAAAATAGCTTCCTTGACTCCTCTCTCAAACCAGACTTCACTGTCCTTGAAAGAATGTCCTTTGTCCTTCAGGTGGAGGTGGACTGCTGACTCTGGTCCACTGGAGTTGGCCCTCCTGTGTTAGGCCATGCGTTTGTGCAGCGGCTGCTTAATTTCACCAATGTACAAGTCGTTACACTCCTGACTACACTTAATTGCAGACACCACATCACTCTGTGTCGGTGTGCTACCAACCTGTTGCTTGTTATTTTCTTTAGATTTTCATTTTCATGTTCATCTCTGTTTTCCTGTTTTTCGAGCAGATTGATGACACCAGTTTCTCACTCAACCACCCCAACCAGTACTTTGTTGAGAGCCAGAAAGTTTTGAGCGGGGGCAAGGACATAAAGAGAGAGAAGGATCCACAGAGTTCACAGGAAACCGCTGCTGCCAGAAGATCCACTCCAGCTCAGACAACAGAACCAGGCACCTCCCAGGAACTGACTGAGACCACAGCGGACCTGACCCCTTTCTTTAACGATGCCTGATTTATTTTTTGTTTTTCTTCCTATGTCTTATACAGTTGAGAATAAATGTTTGTATTTTCTGTGTCACATGCTAAGTATTGGTGTTCTTTCGGTGAAGCCTGCTTTAAACAGCATGGTTTAACCTTTATGTGACATTATCCCAACCTTAACATCACACTAAAGTTTCTACTTTGAGGTAATTCCTTGTTAATACGTCGGTGACATTGCATCATTCATTTAACCGTTGTGTTAAAAGTAGCCTCTTGGTTTGTTTTCTTTCTTTGTTTTCACTCTGGTCTGAACTCAGATGGCTTATACCCAGTCTCAGTGCGCAGTCTTTTGGCAGCAATGTGGTTTTTGGGGAGATGAGTAGAACATTTCCCAGCTGTCTCAGAAACAATGTCATTGTATTTGCTGGCAGAAGTATAGATGAAGGGTGGCAGGAGAATGGATGAAAATAAACAATTTTCACAGTTGTATTATGCAGCCTTGGAATACTGCCTCACAGTGCAGTTTATTCAAAACATACGTGGTCAGGAGATATTGCTTCTCTCTTCTCACGATCTTATGTCTGCTCAATAATTTGTGAAAAATGGTGGCTGTCAGAAAGTCAAAAACCTGCAGCTGTGGTTCTGCCAACACTAATCTAGGTTCTTTGGGAGATACAGACATCTCCACTTTTACTTTTCCCTTTCTTTTTTGTCCCTGCAAGATTCTAACCTCAGATCCAATCAGAGGCACTGAAGAGTTGGTGAATGTTATGAATACAAATGCCAGCTCCAGGAGGCCAAAGGAAATATTGAATAACTGAGAAAAAGCTGCTTCAGTAATTTAATGATTGTTAGTTGCAGATTTAATTTAATGTCCCTGAAGGTGTCAAATATTAAAATGTCCTTGCATTTATGCATGTTTCTGGGTTTCAAGACACTCTGACACATTTGGACTACACTTCATCATTGTCTCAGACTTGTAACTTCAGAGCACCAGAGCTGCACATCGCTAGAATTAAATTAGGTCTCAAAATCCAGGCATGGTGCTTGACATAGAGAGGATTTATTCAGTATAATAAGGCAACTGGATAACAGTGCGCAGCCAGGCTGCTGTCAGCAAAAGACCCTTGAAGTTTAATATTTGGTAGAGCATGACTACATTTGACAAAGCTGGCACTTTCTTAGACTGTGGGCAGGCAGATGACTAGGATGGTATTTATCTTCTCCAAATGGATTTACAATCATTAGTCATGAAGTTGCTCACATTTGTCGTGACATTTCTCTTCCCCATGGATGAGAAGTGGTCGGGGGACTGCAACATTCATTCCATGAACCTCACATGGGGGGTGTGCCGTGCAGCTGCAGTGCAGCTGTGTGAATGTGTTACAGTCGTAAATACTGCCAACATAACATCCTCAGGATTTGCATTGCATCAGTAAATGAATAGTACCAGTTTCAGTGTAACAGTGAACAAAGAGAGTGAAACCTCTGTTACAATACAATTAACTCCCGGAGCGACATTTGCATCAAACAAAGCTGATTTTTTGCCTTACAATGTGAAAGTCCAAAACAAATTGAGTTTCTGTTGGTGAACGCTCAACATTGACTCCATTGGACATTTCTATTCACAGTGCATGATTCTCTTTGTCCTCTTCTTAATATAATTTCACCCAGTGGATGAAATGTGGAACAGTTTGATTGGTTATTTAAAATGCACACCAGGAGCAGCTCTCATTAATTTGGGGGAGATGTGTGTGTTCTGTTTTCTATTTATTTTTTAAGGATTAGATAACATCCCATAATGCATACTTGTACGCCTTGCCCTGGAGCTTTATAAAAATGAACACAATTTATTTGATAACTGCTCATTCCTCATTTCAGATTTCATAAAAGGATGATAAAAGTCATGATGGTGTATTAGCTTTTCAGTGGGAGGAAGAACAGATAATTTGGGGACTTCAGGGGATTCTTACCGCTGTGACAAAAGTCATCTTCAGTGTACTGGAGTCGCTGCCGCGCTAGGAAGCAATAAATAAAGGTAATAAAATGTTGAAGCAGTTCTGAAGTAAAACATGATGGATATGAAATTAGAAACTACACACTAAGATAGAATAGAGTATATGTTGAGATTTATGTGAGAAAAGTACACAAAACTGTCAGAAAGTATCCCTTCTTGAATCAAGCTATAAGGGAATCTTTGACTTGGACCATGACAACTGAGCAAGCTCCATGTGCTGATGAAGAGCATGAAATGTGGATTAAAGTCTGGAAAAAAAAATGCTAGTGTCAAAGTTGCTGTATTGCAGAGTATAATTATATGCTTTAAATATGTTATTATTTAGAGCCTTTTGGTGTAAATATGGTTATCAAAGGCTTCCAAATTGAGATGTGAATTGGCAGCAACCTAGAGGCATTTCACAATTATCATAACACATTTAAAACATTTCTTCCAAGCATTTAGAAGAATCAGGGTGAATGTGCGAACATCTAAACCTCTCACCAACTTAAAATAAGTAGGGTTCCAGTGCTGAATAAAACACATTATTTTCTGCAGATGATGTGTCCCGCTGTCAAAAGCATGTGTATTAAACATAATAGCAAGAGGGTGACATTTTATTCCTTTATTCTCCAAATTCACTCAAATGTCATTGTGAGTATATTCACCATTCTCAAATTCCCACTGGGATGCAGTAAACACACTGGCAAACAAAGCAGGACAAAAACAGTTTTATCATGGAAAACACTGCTCCTATCTGCTAAGAAATACAGAAAAAAACTACCAATGAAAAAAGTATCTTTCAGTTTCAACAATTTCACCTTCACGTGCGTATGTATCTAATTAACTAGAAGCTGTGACTTGTTGTGAGACTGATGGTGGAAATTACTTTACAAGTAGATTTGATTGCTAAGCACTGTGTTTCAAAGATGACCTTGATTACGATGGATATTTAATTTTGTCTTTATACTGGTGCTCAGCTAATCAATGTGGCATTTTATTGTGTCACAAACATCTTAAATCCATCCATCCATTATCTATACCGCTTGTTCCCAAATAGGGTCGGGGGGGCTGGAGCCAGTTCCAGCTGAGTGGTTGAGAGGAGCTACACCCTGGACAGATCGCATCTTAAATCCTTTAGTGCAAAGTATTTTTGCTGCATTAAGTGAACAGAGGTAGTCACAATGATTGGTTTGCACAAATACAGTGGGTACGGAAAGTATTCAGACCCCCTTAAATTTTTCACTCTTTGTTATATTGCAGCCATATGCTAAAATCATTTAAGTTCATTTTTTTCCTCATTAATGTACACACATCACCCCATATTGACAGAAAAACACAGAATTTGACATTTTTGCAGATTT